AATAGAGTTAATTGAAAACTTATATAACTCATCGACGAAAATAAATGAAATAAACACATCAACCTCGAACAAGGTTTCAGATTTGCTTCTGAAGAAGTATGAATAACAGAAAACTATCATTCTTTTGAAAAATCTATGTCAAAACCAAGTACGAGTAAAGAATGTTACATCTCACTATATTTCCACATTTAGCTTGTAATGCGTTGCAAAACTCGATGACCAAAAGGACAATTTTCGTCCAGCTGGTATGTTAAAATTGGAAATAAATTATCTATTCATAAAAGAAAGAGACAATTAAATAATTGTACCCATTTGCTCCAATCTAAATAACAATTGTAATTAATATAATAACTAATAATTGTCACAAATAATTCATTTCGTATTTTTGTAGGAGATAAAATATTCAAATTGTGGAAACATGTAGATATACTCACTACAGAATTACGAAAATATTTTTGACAATCAATATTGAATTTCTTGTCAATGTTCCACATTCTCTGCTATAAGGAAGACGATATAACCCTTTGCTTGACTCTATTACAGAGTCACATATATTTATCAACAAGTAAACCATAAAATTTCTATCAGAGAAATGAACTTGTGTTTATAGCACAATAAAAAGAACACAAGTATTCATTCATATATGAAAAATCTATAATAATGATACATTTATTTGCAACTTCATTGAAACATTGGAAGTTGGTTGATAATATTAAAAAAAAAAAAAAGAAGAAAATTCGCAGTGCAAAGGGTTGATGCACACAATAGATATGAGGTGGGCTTAGCTCAATCGATGGAGCATCAGATTTTTAATCTGAGGGTATTAGGACAAATAGCACGGGAGAACTCTGTGTGTTGTATAAAAAGGTCCCGGAGCTCTCCCAACGTGTGGAGGACGGCCATCGTGGAGGTTTTAGTCGGTAAAAATCCCTTCTTCCCTTAAAAGACTTCAGGTGTCTTATGAAGATTTCCTCCACGTAAAAAAAAAAAAAAAAAAAAGAAACACACAATAGATGTAGAAGACAACAATTACCGACCTCAAACAGCCAAGCTCCGTCCTGTCCATCTTCATTTCGCGCATTTTCGACACAAGCTCGGAAAGCACTCGGTCGAATATCGTGCCCACGCCAGCCTGCTGCGCCGAGTTCCGGTGCACGGTGATGCCCGTGGCCAGCACGATACCATCCTTCACGTCGATGGAACGGTGGGAAAAGGAGGCTATCAGCAACTCGTTCCAACCGGCCCTGAGCAGAAGTACCTGATCCTCCAGTGGCAACGACGTAAAATGCGGGATGTGTTTCGCCCATGCTACCAGCTGGAACAGCTGTTTGTTCGTGGCGTTGCAAATGTGCGACACTGCATTCTGTGCATTGCAAGAGATGCCGAATTAATCGGAGGAGCGTTTCGTGGAACAGCTACGCACAACCATTCCACGAAAAATCAGTTCACGGCGTCGTTGTTCGAATATATGTGGGACAAGGGAGAGAAAAAAAAAAAAAAATTGCTCGTCAAATTGATTCGTTCCGATGGTTTTAACTTTGTAGAGATGGAACGAAATTTAACTTTTTAGATTGGTCGAATTTGAAACTTTGCCTTGAAATTTTCTTTTCTCCTTTGTTCTTTTTTTTTTTTAATCGCACTGTATAGCATCTCTTTTGGTTTACAACAATTAAATTCTCAGAGCTTAAGCGCAAACTCAATCGAATTATTAGTTAAATAAATTCACACAATATTCTTACATGTCGAATTTAAAAATAGCACAAACTCTTGAGTTTCGAAGTTTCGAATGTCCCATCTCTAATTTTAACTCTTCGATGCGTTCTTTTGGTCATCTTCAATCTAACCGATACTGTTCCTCTATCATTAAAAAAATTTCTTAAAATTCAAATAACATAAAAGTTTGATATATTTACGTTGAAATCGAAATATTAAAGATTTTGTAGCTCGAGATATCCAATTTACAAGACTGCAATAGAGTTAACATTTATTTCCATTAAAAAGCACTTTTGACATTTGTTATTTGAAATCGTTCATTCGAAATTCTTTGTTTTGGTACACTTTAAGAGAGCTAAACACGAATTGAAGAGAGAGAAAAACAGAGAGAACCGCGAGAAGTTAAACTGATCTCAATGGAAATTTGAAATTTAGAAATTTATTAATACACGATGACTCTCTTGCATAATAATTGCTTTGACATATCTATAACATTAATAAATTGGCAAGTTATAAGTTGGAAATTATAAAGTTCCCTTGCAGAAGCAGAACTTACATAATTTCAAAAGTTATTAGTTAAATCAGTTACTAATAACTTATTAATTGTACGCTGCATATTTATTACAAATGATAATTATTTTACAATGTTAATTCTTATTTTAGAAATTTGTAAAATTTAATGGATTAATTCGTTAATTCCTATCGTATCTAATTTTTTAATAGTAACAAATTATATATATATAAAATAGATACTGTTATTGTTACATATTATTTAAAAACGTCCAAAGGATTTATACTATCCAATTTTTTAACTGGAACGTTCGCAGTAATAGACTGCTCAAATAAGATTTGAAAGGGACACGTAGCGACTTTAAACTGCAATTATTATGACTTTTTGAAACTACTTGATAAAAGATATTTATTTAATAGAATTTTCTGAGAAAAAAGAATTGTTTTAATTCTCTTCAACGAGAGGAAGACTTCTTTATTAAACGCCCTCAATTACTTCGAGCAACTTATTCATCGATGCATACACGACTCGATCAATTTTTTAATTTACATTGCACAACGAAACGATCATATCAGATTGCCATTAAAAGATATCTCAAACTGAGATTAATTCAATCACTCGTCTGGGGTTCAATGACAAATAAATTGATTTCGTCCCGAGATAACCATTCTATAAAACTGACGTCCCAATCTTGCGAGCACAATTATTTGCAAAATATGATGTACAATATAATATAATGTGTAATATAATTTGGTATATGAAACGAAAATATGATTTCTACCGAAAGAGAATACATTAAGTGAGAATTTTTTAATATTTTATCGTACTTGTATCAAAGTTTTAACACGTAATTACAATATTGAAAATTTTTAATAAAGTTTTAATTACATTAAAAATTACGTAATCCATCATTTCTGCAAAATCTTCTAATTAATAAATCGCTCAGTTAATAGACTGAAATTTTCCAATAAAATTTGAAAATACGTTCAGAAACTGATTACTTATTCTCTCTTTTATATCAATCCCTGCCTTGAAATAAGAAAATCAACGATGCAAATTGATATCTAAGAAATTGAAAAGGAATTTTCTTTGAAGAAAATGAAAAGAAGATATCTAAACTAAGTAGTACACTGGATTAAATCAACTAATCATTCTGAAGTAATACACTGCAATTGACGGTAAACTTAATTTAAAAAAAAAAACCTCAGAAAAATTTCAACTCAAAATCAGAAGACAAAAAGATAGGGAAAAATTAGGACGAGAGATCGAGTCGTGAACGAGAAATAAGATTTCTAAACCGAGCACAACCAACGTCGTGAACTGTTCCAATTCTACCGTTTCCGCTTATTGCCCTTTCCTCGCTTGTCGGTTTTAATTAATATTTACCTCATAATTCCCTTGCTGTTCCATTTTGCATTCGACTCGTTTCTCGGCCTCGAGGATGCGCTCGATCGGCATGTCCGAGTGCAAGCTACTGGTGCTCTCCACCTCGCTCTGATCCCTCTCCTTGGTACGCTGGCGTTCTTCCTGGACCGCTTCCCTCTTCATGCCCATCGCCAGGCATTTCTGGTATCTGCAATACTGGCATCGATTTCTCTGTCGTTTGTCGATGATGCACGACTTCTCTTCGCGGCACGCGTACGACAGGTCCTTGCGTACGGTCCTCTTGAAGAAACCTTTGCAACCCTCGCAGCTATACGAACAGAAGAGAAAAAAAGAGTCAATCGTCGATCAATGATCGATCGTGTTTTAGTAACAATTTTAATCTCATTTTGATTAATTTAAATTTTAGTTTTATCTTAGTTTGTTGAGGTTGGTTGAAAGAAAAGAAAAAGAGGGTTATTATCGTAATTGATTCGATTGGAATTGTATATTAGAATTTTGTATGATTGTATTCATTGCAGATCGATTAAAAGACACACAAATGCAGAAGAAACTCCTGCTATTTCCACGACTATAAATGAAGAAGGACTATTATCATAATTAATTATGTATAAAGTTTTACTATTTCCTGATAAAGGGATTTTATTCTACTCTGACTTCGTTCGTAGTTACAGCTTGATTAAGAGACGTAAGAGATATTTAAAAAATCCGTGGAAATATGAATGAAAAGGAAGATTGTAAAACTTTATCGAGGATCGTTGTTGTATTTAATTATATTAATAAAAATCTTACTCTTGTTTCACGACTTTCGCCTGCTGAGAGTGATATATATTCCATTTCATTCTATTATATTTTACATACTTTACGGAAGAAGATAATTATTCATGGATCTTTTTCTTTTGACTGATGACAATGATTCTTTTCCTTATCGGCTGAAGTTTCATGAATATTTATCATTAAAATTATCGTCACTTTGATTTATGTTGTATTTCTGTCCAATTATTTCAATGAATATTTGTCTGTATCCCATTACTTTAATGATTGTTCTTCGATATAAGAAATTTAAATAATAATTATATCCTTTGAAAAATTTCAAATTTAACGCGCATCATAATATTTTCACATACATAAGACAAATTGTAACGCAATTGTAACTTTATCGTACGATGTACTGACTCATTACTCTCCCAAAAAATTCATCTTTCCGTTAAAATTTCGGAAAATTATTGAAGCATAATGATCACGTCGTAAATCCGCAAAGTCCAAACACTCGGTTCCATTACTTTAGTCGAGGTGAGTTACTCCGTACAGTCGACAATTCTCGATTGTCCGGTGGTGACAATATCCTTTCCAGAGACAGCGGATTACGCGAGAGAAATCGTAAACCGGGGATACTTTATTCGAGGAATCTTACTTGAATTAGTCGAGTGGAGCCAGGCGAAAGAGCCGGATAAAACTCGCCAACGAATTCGAACTCTTTTCGCGAAATACGAGCCGGTGTTGTCTGGCTCTCGGAGTGATTCACAAGCTGAAACCGTGCATTCCTCTTCGATCGAAATTTCAGCCGAAAGTATTTTCTACGGTTGCACTCTTGGAAAAAGCGAACGCTATTTCCGTAATTTTTCACTCAGTTTTTATATTTTTAGGAGGTGATGTTTGACGTAGAATTTGATCAATAATGAGTTTTGATGCGAAAGGATAATATAATGTAAACGTGATTACGTTTAACCAGTTATTATTTTTAGATTTATTTTTAATTGTATTTAATATCATTTGAATTACAGATTTAAGTACACATATGTCTATCTTTTTTATCAAAATCATTTTAAATTGAATAATTGTTTGCTTTCTCCAAAAAAAAAATACCTGCTTCAATTATGTTGATGAAACTTCAAAAGCTGATAATTGAATGATTATCATTAATTCTTC